ATGTCACTGCCGCCGCCTTCGAGAATGTCGATCTCGGGGGACCCGCGACCCATGTTCGGGTGCAAGCCGTAGCCGGGGTTCGGGTCGCAGGCGCTGATGCGCTGGAACGTGCGGTAGCGTTCGTCGCACTCGTTGTACGACCACGGCCAGACACGGTTGGTCGACGCCGCAAACAAAGCACGACCGAGGTTGCCCATCATCCAGAGACCTGGCCATGTTGGGTAGAACCGAATGTCGGGAATGCGGTCGAGTGGCTTGACGGGCACATCGCGCTGCAGCTGGTGGTCCCAGCGCTTCCCTGTCACGTGGGGGTTCATCGACACATGGGTCGCGCCGGGCATCTTGGCTGCGATCTCGACAAAGCCGCCTTGGATGCAAAACTTGTTCCAGGTTTGCACCATGGCGGCGCGGTAGTACTAGCAGACAGATTGCACCGGACCCAAGTAGAAAGACAATATTTACCATCTTCTTGTTGGTCCACGATGGGGTATCTGACCACACGTTGTAGTACGTGATGTTGGTCTCGGTCGTGTCAACGCGAATCTGGAAGGCGCCGTCGAGAGTGATCGCATTTTCGGGGGTGTAGACGCCCACAGCGCGGTTGACGCCGTCGGGAATGTCGAGGGCGACCCAGAGATGGTCAAGGCCGGCCGTAAAGTTGCGCCCGGCCAAGTTGAACTCGTCGCTCATAATCAAGTCCCAGCTGTCGCCTCGGGAACTCGTCATCGTGCGAAACTCAGCGGGGGTCTCGACGTCGACCCATGTCTTGACGCCCGACCTAGTCGGTAGCGTCGGGTCGTTTTGATCCAGTGCGAGAGCGACTAACGGCACAAAAGCCAGTCGAAAGCGGTGGCACATTAGAGTCAAAATCACAAATGAGCATCGGCAACTAACTTTGTCATCTAGTCAGTATGAACGTTATGTACACAGACCGATGGACGCGTCGCACCCAAGTCCTCTCTCTCCGCAGCCAATGTACGAAATGAATCCAGTAAATACTCATCATTAAGGTGGAGAGGTATTGGTTTAGAAACGCTGACCCGTGTAACCCATCCAAAATTTCAACTCGAGGAAGCAATGCAGTACTCGT